ATGCGTGGTGATGCAGCTAAGGAGAGTCTACTGAGCTGTGAAAAAATCCCTTTTGCCTCAAATGAATCGAGAATATCATCATAGATAAATTGAGAGATCGTGCAAGAGACTTCTTTAGAACCCATCTAGGAGACAGGTAAAGCCTTTAACGAAACTCGAATGGTGTCTAAGGACACCCTTCAAGTGTGCTTGTAGGGTAAGGCGTGGCCAAAGCTGCAATCAAATGGAGTCTAAGGACCCCACTTGAAATTGTACGGTGTCTAAGGACACCACACAATTGCAACCGAATGAGAATGCAAACAAAGCAAACAAAGACCCTAAGCTCAGAGTGAGAAGAACCTAACTACGCGCGCCGGCCCGGAGAAAACTTCTTCTCTTTAAGAAGTAGTCTTGAACCTCCTAGCTCAACGGCTTTTGCCGCGAGTTTGAGCCGAGACGCCTTGAGCCAAAGGGGTACGGACTCTGTAGACCTCTCAGGCCGTGCAACAGACTCACCTTCACCCCGCTGGGCCCTGCTGGGTGTCAAGGTGACTGAGGTACCTGTGATAGGGAGCAAACACAAGCTCCGCTACCACGTGAAAGTTTGACACACAAACTCCTGACGGAAAATCAAAAGCTCTCGTGCTCAAAACACCTAGTCAGTCAAGTGTCTCAACGACCCGAGTCGAAAACGGAAGAAAAAGCAGGCAAAAGACACGCACACTTTTCGCCGCACACTTGAGCCAAAGTGACGAACGTTCTCCAAGGTTCACAAATGTTCTCGGGACATTTGTGGACATGCAAAACCATACTCAAAACAGTTCTACGCTTCACAAAGGTTCTAAAAACAGTTGGAAACAACTAAGAGCATAGTCTAAACATCTTCGGGTGTTCTCGGACACCTCATACACAAACTACAAACATATGGAAACATTGACAGGGATCTTTCAATGTCCTCAAAAGCTAACGAACGTCATTCAAACAAGCCAAAATTCTCCATGGCTTTCTTTGCGGTCTCTAAACAAGTGGTATGGAGTCTTCGCTCCTCAGTACTATAAATTCTCACATGAAGGCTTGCGCAGTTGGAGAATTGAATCAGGAAGCATGAAGTGAAAACGCCGCTTGGGACAGAGAACTGGAGACAGGGAATTGGGCACCAGTCCCCTGCCTCCAGTTATCCTGTCCGCACTTCCCTGTCCCAAGTTCCCTGTCTTCCGTTTGCTGCCTAGTTTCCTGCTCCTTTCCTGTTCCTGGTTCCTTGTCCCGAAATCATGCCGCCAGAGCACTGGAGCATCTAGAGCTGACTGGGGACAAGTGAGACAAGCAAAGCCCAGTTTCCTGCCCCCCTGTCCCAAGTGCCTCCAGTTTGCTGCCCAAGTTCCCTCTTCCGATTCCCTGCCTCCAGTTCCCTGTCCAGTTTGCTGCCTCAGTTCCCTGCAGACTCCATGCAGGGTCTTTTGTTTTCAAGGAACTCCAACCTTCCTCAGAGTTGCCCAAAAAAGTTGCTGACACACCCTTGTGCACTTGACAGTGTCCATTGTTCACCCTCCGATGAGCCATGTTTGAAGCTTCATTTGCAGAAAGAAGAAGACGTATAGACGATCCATAAGTCCTTTGGGCAACGGTGAGCTATACATCCGCTTGACCTGTGTTGGTTGGTTTGGTAAACCATCCACTGGATCGATGTCTGTACCTATCCATCCGTCCAGCTGGACAAGGTGATAAGCTGAATCTGGCCTCCAAAATCCTCAAATTCTTTGGCGGAACACGGTGCTTACTATTTTTTGGACAAGCTGGATGTGGTCAAGCGATGTTTGTTTCAAAGCACGACATCTCTTTTGGTTGACGATGTATGCCTCCGATCTGCTTCGGTTGATGACGCCAAGTCCTGGCTGGACAACACCGTTTGCAGGTTTGCGTCCTGCCGACACGAGGATGGTATGTTGCCTCCGGGCATGCGGTGCTTCACGACCAATTGGGACAAGCGTGGGTTCCTGCCCGACGAAGCCCGGCATGAGGAACACTTGGTGGCGATTGAGCGGAGGATGTGGTTTGTTGAGGTCGGTTCTGATCTTCGTAAGAACAGTGCTTCTTTGACCAGTTCCTCTTCGGCGGTGCTGCCACTGCCAGCTTCCGATGAGATGTTGCAGGTGCGGCCATGTGTGGAACATGTTACGATTTAATTCCATGGAATTTTGCAGCAGAAACTTGAAACTTGAAATCGGCCTTTCAATGGAATTAGTCCATCTGTCAGGAGCCGGAAGATGAGGATGTCTTTGGCCATATGAGCCACGTTTTTGTTGCAAATGATTAGGTTTATACAAAAAGGGAACTGTTGAGAAGTCGCGGAGGCTGTTCTGCTTGGGGCGTAGGCGTCGTGTAAGCATTTTGCGTAGGTGGGTGTTGAAAGATTTGCGTAGGCAGTCTTGCGTAGGCACCCTTTTCATGAAAGCCTGAATTTTCTTATTCAGACTTCTTTAAAAGTTGTTCAAGGGTCTTGGGGAAAGATAAACAGGAACCTGATGTGACCCAGTCGCATCGGGCCACTACTTGCGGATTATATAGCTCTTTTCGAGTCACCTGATGTGACTAAAGTTGGTGACAGTACCCTGCGTAGGCATCCCGCGTAGGCATAGGCATTTGCTTGAGAGGGGAGCCCAGGCTTCCATTGAAAGGGCGGACGCAACTTTACGAATGTGTTTCTGTTTGTGGGTGTTAGCAAGCCAAACTGCTGTTCCTCCATGTTTTGACATGGTGTGTCGCTGTTCACGCACATAGTTATGCGCCTTACACCTGTTTTAGGCGCCTCTAAGATTTGCAGTTTGGTGTGCAAACGTGACCGTCTCCAACTCAGTGCCCACATTGGTCATTTTTGTTCAGAACATCCTGCGTGCGACCGTTTGGTCGTCCTGGAGAAGGTGAGCCACATTGTCCTTTCACGTGGCTATCTTGCCCTCTGACTTTTTTGACATTTGGTCACATAAACCGTGAATCAAACATATAGAGTATGAACATGTTAGTGTGCAAATATATGACCAAATATCTTTTGCGAACCGCGCCATCCTGAATTTGGAGACCCGCACTGGAACTTGACCTCGAATTCAGTGACCGCAGCCCAACTCGACCGCGGTATTTGGCGAACTGCGGCATCCAGAACACAGAGACCCAGGTTCGAAGTTGACCATGTCAAACTCAGTGACCACAGTCGAACCGGACCATTCCGCAATCAGCGGCTCACACCTTGACAGTTTTTGCGGCTATTTGGCGTTCGATTTTTGTTGCCAGTGATACACTTCTTGATTTGTGGATGGTACACTCTTGATTTGTGCAGCCGTGCGCTTCTCGATTTGTGCACAGGTACACTTCTCAATTTGTGCACAGGGACTCTTCTTGATTTGTGTTGGGTACAGTGCACAGGCACTCTTCGTGATTTGTGTTGGGTACACTCTTGATTTGTGCAGCGGTGCGCTTCTCTACAAGAATGCTACACCGCCCTGCCCATTCCCTTCCCCATTTCAATGTTGATGTGGGTGCCCACAGCGCAGCCGAGTAATTAGGTTAGGCCTCACAGTGAGAAGTGCATGCACGCCTGTCCACAGCTCTGTGTGTTCAAAACGGTTTCTTTGTGGGAACGCGCGCAGAGGCCGGACTGTAACGCCAAGCAATTGAAACGCGCGTGCCGTTTCCGTTTGTAATCAGGACATGCCTCCAAAGAGGAATCGCGTGGAGGCGGTCTAAGCTTTGTGTGGGGTGTCTTCTTGTTGCGCAAAATGTTGGTTCCTTGGTGAGGTCCTCGCGGAGGAGTTGAATGACTTGAAGCAACGACGGGCCGCGATGCGCGCGGCCAACCGTGCATTGGCAAAGCAGGAGAAGAATATGAAAAAACGACGTGCCCGCCTGATGCAGGCTTGGACATCTTCGAAATTTGAATACAGTTGCTGCTGTTTCGCACTAGGCTGCCCGGCAACTCAGCCGTGACGACCTGTTACTCCTGGTGCACCAAGCGGGAGCAGGAGGCCAGGTGCCCGATGGACGGCCCAGCATTCACTCATGGGGCATTTGCGTCCGGAGGTGGTGGAGCTGCAGTGGTCGCAGCTGGTGGTGGAGATGGCGCGGAAAGTCTTCTGTGTGAAAAGATCCCCGGAATTGTGGCTGTCTATGCGCGTGTCACTCTCGGAGGTGGTGGAGCTGCGGTGGTAGCAGCTGGTGGTGGAGATGGCGCGGAAAGTCTTTTGCGTGAAAAGATCCCCGGAATTGTGGCTGTTTATGCGCGTGTCACTTTCACAGGTCATGGTGCTCCCCCTCCAAATCTGCCAGCTGGCGCTGCAGCTGGCGTTGCAGGGGAAGGTCTAGACTGTTTGTTTGCTTTCTGCGTGTGTGGAGCTCTTGGCAGACCAGGTGCGAATGATGTGGAGGAGGCTGATGCCATTTCATCTGAGAGTGATCGCGGCGAAGGCGCGCGGGTGGATGTGGTTTTGAGTGTGTTGCTCATGGCCGAAGTTTGCTCTAAATCAGTTCTCATTGGAGGCGGTGCTGCTGATGGTGATGGTGAGGAAGACTAGGTATCCTCAGGGCAGCTGCTCAGTTTGGAGACACGCTCCTGCGATTTTTGAAGGCGATCAGAAAAGTATGATGGGGTTGCTGGGCCAGTGATCCAGAGGCAAAGTTACGGACTTGGTTTCGGGGCTTTTGCTGACGCAGGAAAACTGGACACTCTAGGTGGGGCCTCCTCAGTACCATGCAGTGATTTTTGGTCTTAGTAGACCGCTTTCGAGTTTTCCGAAACGCTTTGAAGAGAGCTAGTAGGAGTTTGAACGTTTTGGAGTGAATGCTCACGTTTTCCTTGGCTCAAGGAAGACGAATGAACAAGTTGCAAAGCACCAGACAAGGTCACGAGACACCTTCCTTGGTGTGTGTGTGTGAGTGAAAAAGGGAAGCCAGAGCGTGTGAACTTGGCAAGTTGAGTTGTCACTTGCTTCACGGTTTGCGTTCACACATACGTATCTTTTGCGCTTGTGTTTTGTAAGTTTGCGAGCGGTTTTAGTTAAGTGTTTGTTTTTGGGAAGTTCGCCGTGTAAAGGACGCGCACGCGTAAAGGGGTTGTAGGTCTGTTGTGCTTCCGCATGGTAGCGGAGCCCCTGTTGTGGGGCATCTAGAAGTATGGATCCAGGTCGCGAGCAAGGTTGTCCGAGCCCAGGTGCACTTGAGCGAGGTGGAGGTGTAACACAGCCTGTGCCCACAACACCGAGTCAGCAGAGCAGACAGACCCAGCAAGGTTCACAGTATGGTTCGCAAGGTTCACGCGGTGGAGGTCCGCAACCTGTGTTTCCGCCAGGTTTTTGCGCAGGTCAAGGTCCGAACGTCTTTGCGCAACAACAACAACAACAACAACAACAACAACAACAACAAGCGCAAGCAAGTACCAGTGGGGTAAACGGTCCCGCTTGGTTTGGAGCTCAGTGGCTTCCTCGAGGACCTGTAGGCAGGCTTCCACCAATGCCTGGTGGGTGCCCGATGGGCTGGCAAGCAGTAGGAGGCCAAGGCCTTAGTGAGCAGAGGCAAGGACCTGACGGCCAGAATCCTAGTAGCCTGGAGCCTAATCTTGGCCAGAGACCTAGTTTGTATGGTGCTCAAGTTGGTGGCCTTAATTCAGCAATGAACAGCGTAAACGAAGTTGTTGGAATCATTGGCACTTGGGATGATGCTCAAGTTTCAGCATTGCAACAGTTGCTTAGTGACAGATTTGTGACCGTCCAACAGCGAAGACAAGTTCCTGAACGATTTGGAGCACAGACAGATCGTGGTGCACCAGATGCGTTTCTCCCGACCATGGGAGGTGGTGTTCTTCCTGTACCGTACAGCCCATGTGGTGGCGACATGGGTAATGGACAGCAAGATGTGTTTGCAAAATCAGAGAAGTGGTTGGCGCCGGCCCCAGTTCCGACCATGAATCAGTGGAAGACGCGTGAAGAGGAAGTGGCGCAACGGTCTAGTTATCTTGACGATTTGACAGCATGGGCCGCCCAAGCGTCCCTGGAGTTTTCGGTGGAGATCTCACATGCGTCAAGATGGCCTCGAGAAATCTCATGGAGTTCATTGAATGCTGCGCGACAGGCACGAGCCAGAAGGTTGCTGGCGATCATTCGGAGTGCGTTTAAGGAGCACCACAGAGTGAGTGCGTTGGTGAGCGCCTTTTGTGAAGGAGTTTCGTTGACAGGTAATAACTACATGCCTGGAATCATGGCTCAACCAGCCAACGGGTATGAACTGATTCGACAGTTGACCCTCGAATTCTCGATTCGAAGTCGTTCGGAGGCTCTCAGTTTGCGTGCAAATCTTTCGGCTCGTTCGTTCGTTTTGTCGGCGCAAGAAACCAGTCCAAGCAGTGTTGTTTCGGATACGATTCGAAAATTAGATTTTGAGGTGGCAAAATTTACAAAATTGCTTGGTACATTGCCCTCGCACATCGACACGACTGGTTTGAAAATAGGAGAGTCTGATTTGTTGCTTATGCTCTTGCGGAGTTTGCCGGAACAGGTGAAACAATTTTGCCTTCACCATTCGTTGGGTGATTCGTATGAGGCTTATAGAACGGCAGCGAGACGCTGGGAAGATCAGCAGCGTTTGTTTGGTGACTTTGGTCAAGCCCTTGGCGGTCGACATGTGCAAAGCATGACATATGGTGCGTATCATGGACCAGAGGAATTTGACCTCTCGACTGGCGATGCGTTCGTGGACGCAGTCACGGAAGGAAAGTGTGCCAAGTGTGGCTCACGAAAGCATGGGACTCAAGAGTGTGTTGTGGACTTGTCCAAAACCAAGTGTTTTCGTTGTGGGAACTTCGGACACGTAGGTATGAATTGTGGACAGAAGGCAACAGGTAAAGGAAAAGGAAAAGGGAAAGGAAAGAAAGGTGTAATCAAATCAGATCATTGGACCAAACCAGGAAAAGGAAAAGGTAAGAAAGGTAAGTTGAACGAGGTGACCGAGGATTCGTCATGTTGGGACTGGGCAGATTGGAGCAGTGGAAATTGGCAGTCCGAGCAAAGGGAGGATCCTTCATGGTATGAGGAGTCACAGGAAGCAGTATGGCATGATTCAACATGGACAGACAACGATGAACATCAAGAACAGTGGGACTCTGGGCATTGGCAGGAGTCGGAGTACGTTGGGACGGATCCCAGTTCAGCAGTTGTTGGAAGCTTGATATTGAACCCATTGTTAGGTATGTCTGAGGACGATGGTGTTGGAGATTGTTGTTTTGAATTCTGTTTTGAAGAAACACCCGGTTTTGAAGATGGTTTTTCGGTTGTACAGTCTTGGTCTTTGTCTTCAGACTCAGAGGTTGTTGAGGCTGGCAAATTTCCACTCGGTTCGGCTCCAAAGCCGGGGTCTAAATTTAAACCCCGGTTTGTATCCCAAAACTGGCCGGCATCACCAGCATCGGTGCCACGAGGGGCCCCAAGACCAAGTGGAAATTTGCCAGTTGAGGATGTCACTCCTGATGTACCGCAGCCATTTGTTCATGTACCGCAGCTGACTTCCATGAGGATTCGGACGTATGTCATGGGGTTGATGCACGGACCAATGAACTTTTCCATAGAAGACCTCAGAAGTGCAGACCTTAGTAGCTCTCTAGTTGCTTCGACACCGTGCCGGATCCTTATGGTTGACGCGAGTCGCTGGTTTGGAGCCCAGGATGAAATCTCAGTTGAACACCATTTGGAAAGACAACTTCCCTTGGTGCAACCGTTGCTTGCACAGTTGAGCGATATGGCGGATTGTTCATGGTGGCTTCTGGACTCAGGAGCGAGTACTAGTGTGTTAGCAGAAACGAGTTTGTCAGCTTTTGGAAGTTTGATCATGGACGAATTGCCAGCAGAACAGTTTCGTGCAGCAAACGGGTCACAGGTACATATGAGCGGTTCCACTGAAATTGCAGTGCACATGTACATGATTGGCGATTCAGGTGGTAAACCACAGTGGAAGAAGGCTCGTATGAAGGTTCTTGTGGGGAATATCAAGCATAACATACTCAGCATTTCAGCACTGGCCGACTCTGGATGGAAGTTCACGCAAGGACCCTCAGGATTTGATTTATACCACACTCAACTGAACTTGCACTGTGTGGACACTGCTTATTTCTCCAACTGTCCTTGGGTACGCTTGCATCCTGACTTCATAGTGTCTAGTTGCCTTGAGAAGGACCAATCGTATGCAGGCGGTGAGCTGACCAGGACTCAGGCAAGTGTTTCTTTGTGTCCACTCACGAAGTTTGACGAGGACCTGGCAAAACACCGTCGTCAGGGACACATCCCATTCGATTCAAGATGTTTGGAATGTGCACGAGGCAGGTCAGTGTTCCAACATCGCCGGAAACGAGGCGCAGGACGAGAAGTAGAGGTGCAGGCAGACTTTGCATTTCTCAGTCAAGTAGGAGAAGTATCTAGAGAAGAACATGCGCATGCCATGAAAGTATTGGTTTTGACTGAAATGATGTCAGGCGCCATCGGTTATGTGATTGTTGGACCAAACCTAGACAGGACTAGACGACAGATTGGGACATGGTTGGACCATTTTGGACTTGTTTCCCATCGAACGTCCATCACTTTGCACACAGACGCGGAACTGAGTGTAAGCGAGTTGGTCGGTCGGTCCGTCGGACAGTACACATTTGTTGCGCGGAGAGCAGCACCGCAACAGCACCAAGCAGTTGGAGGCGCCGAACGTGCGGTCCGGGAACTGAAAGAGAGTTTGGCAGTCCTTCGAGCAGACTTGAATGCGCAATCTGTTGACATAGTGTTCTCAGAAGCCGGACTCACAGATGTTCTTACTTACTGTGCACTTTGTCACAACCACTTTGCCAAAACGAGGGGAACTGACCAAACGCCTTTGGAAACCATTGCAGGAAAGAAGCTGTCAAAACCAGTAACCACTTTGTATGGTGCATGTGTGTTAGCTGAGCTGCCTAGTAGCATCAAAGACAAGAGCCCAAACGAGACACGGAATGTTGAAGCTTGTTTTCTGCACTGTGGACTGACCAGAGGACCCCTTGTGCAGGCATTTGTACGGACGGACGAAGGGCATGAATTGATCAGATTCACAGCTCGTAATGTACGACCAATTGTTCCGTTGAGTTGGAAGTTACAGTTAGGAGTAGATGTACTGGCTCCTTTTGACTCAGGTTCAGGAGAAACAGCTATTGTTGATAGACAGGTTCGTGCAGCACAGGAGCATGAAGGCCAGGATCTTAGTGAATTGCCCCCGGAAGAACTACAACGGTTGAAAAGTCAAGACTTGCAAACGCCTCAACTGTTGCCGCGAGCTAACGCGAGAGCGTCTTCAACTCGAGACAATGTATTGCGATTGCCTGAACGTGTACGGAAAGAAACAAAAGGAACCATAACCCAGGAAGTTGAAACAAGCATAGAAGAGGCCAAGAGAGGTTCAAAGAAGGTTTCATTTGCCGAACGCACGAATAACGATGGCGATGCGCGGAAAGAAGGTCCCGAGTTTGAAAGAAATGTCAAACAGAAGGCGCAACCGCCTGAGGAACAGTTCA